AACAAATGAATGTGTGGATGGCATAAATATTTACCTTGTGAATTATGTGTTGTGTTTGGCTCATATACTTATGAGTTGGCAACAATTTTGATAGTGTAACTTTCTGCGTGCTACAGGGAAATGGTAGTAGCCACTTTGTGTTTGTCTTTCGGTTGTGGCATGGATGTCTTGTTCAAGAGAAGACATGGTGACTACCACAAGCAAAGTTGGAAGCAAGACTTGACTTTGTGGTTGCTTGCACACAATTGTGCATGTTTTATTGTGCATGCATTAAATGACAAATGGAGAAAAGTTGTACTTAATAGACTAGGTATAGACTTTGATGCATGCTAGGTAGGCTAAGTGATAATTATGTCATGTGAACTTAAGACTTTTTGGTCTTATTTGTTGGCATAGTTGCTAGTGTATGCCTATAATTAGATGCAATATTTGTGCATTTAGAAATGCATTGACAAAGCATCAAGAGGGAGAGCATTCGACTCTCTCCTGAGAAAGCATCCGAAGGAGAACACAAAGGAGAGAAAATATAGAGTGAGAGTGAGAAACTCTTGGGGAGAGTGAGGTTCTTGTGAAAATTCTATGAGTGGGTGTACAAGGGATTTGGGATTGGGCTATGTCGCTTTAACTCATGTGTACTTGTACTGTTATTCTCATAGTGAAGAGCAATATCTCTCCGGGGACGTAGGCAGGTTTTTGCCGAACCTCGTAAATTTCTCGGTGTCTTTATTTCTTGTATTTTATTCTGTTCAACTGTGAGTGTGATTTGGTAAAGTTGTAATCTGAATCTCGTTTCCGCACTAATGAATGGGCCAAGGCACAACATTATGATCAAACCATTTTCCAGCCAAAATGCAGAACTGAGAGTGAGCTTCAGTTACATGAGTTTTATCTTTATGCTTTCTGCTGTTTCACGATATTCCTTACATGTATATATCGTTTCAATTAGCATGATTCTATTTATATTTGATTAAACGCGGGGTTAAACCTTTGTGAACATAATTGCAAAAGCATGAGATTATTCGATGTGGACATAAATGAGGTAGCTATAACAGTCAATTAATTACACCTTGTGCAGAATCAACTGTAAGAGACTGTAAGCCTTGTGGCACAACCATCATCCCCTATCCCCTGAGCACAAGTCCGGATTGCGGTGACCCCATGTACTTCCATTTCAAGTGCGACAACTTCACAGATCAGGTTAACTTTGACGGACTGATTCTGGGACTGAATGAAACCTTGTTTAGAGTAATTAGCATTAACTCGAGTTCACAGAGATTTTTCATCCAAGGCTTCCAAACCGAAAATGCAGATAAATGTGATCGTATGAACAGTGGGGTAAATTCGCAGATCAGCACAGCACCGCCATTTAAAGTAATAAGTTTGTGTAATGCTGACCTGGGTAATTTTAGTTCTGAAGCACTGTCATCCAGAAGTCCGATTGTAGTTGAGATGGGTTGGGAGCCACCTGTGGAACCACCCTGTATAAAATCTTCTGACTGCAGGGATTGGCCACATTCAATGTGCAATCCTGCAAGCGATGGAAAGAAAAGATGCCTGTGCGAAATCAATTTTCGATGGAATGGCTTGAAATTAAGATGTACTCAAGGTGAGAATACCATGTTAGGCATAAAATTTCTGTCATCCATGTGCCCTCTTGCAAATCAAATTTTTATGTTGATAACAGTGCTGCAGAATCGTTTTAGATTGTACAATACAATAAAAATGATTATATGACAATAATATTTTCTTTTCCTTCTTGATCTTCAAGACCATACGAGAAGAAAATTACCATTGTCTCTGATGATTGTAGCGGTGCTTTTAAGTGTGATTTTTCTGGCGTGCATCGTCATTTCCATTTATATATGGAGAAGAAATATGACCAACAAACGAGGTAACTGCTTTTCTATATGCGTTATTGTCATGAAAGATCTGCAGAGTTGTCCATAGTTGATGAGAATAAATCTGTTCGATTCCCTGTATTAGTTCAAATAAGACGAGGACAATTTGATAGTGAAAGGCGAGTCAAGGAGTTGATAGACACAAGCGAGTTCAAGGAAGAGGAAGGTATAGATGTACCTTTTTTTGATATGCAAACTATACTAGACGCTACAGATAATTTCTCAAATGCAAACAAGCTTGGACAAGGGGGATACGGGCCTGTTTACAAGGTAATTGAACAGTTGTTTACCATTCCTTTGCACTCGAATCACCTTTATATAGCAACACTTGTTGTCATTAATGTTTATCTGTTGGTTAGTTCTAAATTTATATGTAAGGGATTTTGTTGCCAGGGAATGTTTATTGGAGGCCAAGAAATCGCGGTGAAAAGGCTATCAAGGGTTTCAGGACAAGGCTTGCAGGAATTTAGGAATGAGGTGGTGCTGATTGCCAAACTTCAACACCGAAACCTTGTTAGACTTAAGGGATGTTGCATGAAGGGAGAAGAAAAGATCTTACTATATGAGTACATGCCTAACAAAAGTTTAGACTTCTTTATATTTGGTTCGTTCCAACTCCTCTTTTCATTATCTTTTACTGCATGATATGATTTCTTGATTGACTTAACTACAATAGCTTCTAAATTTTTCTCTATATGGAAAATGGAAATTCCGCAAGATCATACAAAAAGCATGTTTCTCAACTGGGAGATGCGTTTTAGCATCATTTTAGGAATCGCTCGAGGGCTTCTTTATCTTCATCAAGATTCCAGATTGAGGATCATTCATAGAGATTTGAAAACCAGCAACATTCTTCTAGATGAGGAGATGAACCCCAAAATATCTGACTTCGGTTTAGCGAGGATTGTTGGAGGCAAGGAAACTCAGGCAAACACAAACACTGTAGTTGGAACTTAGTGAGTTACTAAGTTTTGCGTCTATGATTTCATATTCTTGACCCTTTTAGGTGACAGTGTTTTTGTGCCTGCATAAGTTACAAAGTTTTTTTTTTTTTTTGATACAGTGGTTACATGGCTCCGGAGTATGCATTGGATGGAACTTTCTCAGTGAAATCAGATGTCTTTAGCTTTGACGTGGTTCGTCTTGAGATAATCAGCGGAAAAAAGAACACAGGCTTTTACCAATCCGAACAAACTTTCAGCCTCATAAATTATGTAAGACAGCAAGTGCGTCGAATATTTCATATCCATTTTTAACCCCAATTTACACTTGCATCAGTCTTGAATTTTACCATTTTCCCAGGCATGGAGACTCTGGACAGAAAACAAGGTGCTGGATTTAATGGACAAGATTTTGGACGAAAGTTGCAACAAAACCCAGTTTATCCAGTGTGTCAATGTCGGTCTCTTATGCGTACAAGAAGATCCAAACGATCGGCCCGCCATGTCAAACGTTATCACCCTGCTTGACAATGAAACTGCAACCTCTCCATCTCCTAAACAACCAGGGTTTCTCACAAGGGGAGGCAAATACAGCACAGCTTCTTCTTCTAGTAAGCCAGAAGCTATATCTGAAATAACCACCAGTATAGTAGAAGGTAGATAATTAAAGGACGGTTGATACTCTAGTTTTTTACTCTTTTTTCACGTCTCAGTTTTTTCCTTTTTTATAGTTAACGCTTATCGCGGTAATTATAAAAGCATGTCTCTAATGTTTCTGGTCAGAAAAGTTTGAGTTTGACCTCTTGGCAGTGTGACTTGGTTTCATCGTCTATTCTTTTCTTTCTTTTTCTCAGATTAATCCTCGATCGAGTTCTTGATTAACTTATCATGAAATCAACTTGGAATAATTTTTTTTTCTTTCTTTTTATGGGTTTAGGGATTCGATTCGGTGGATTTCAATTATATAAGGGATTTATGGTTAATGATAGGTTTAATATATGGAGATTTAGATAGGGAAGTGATTTTTGCACGCGCTTTATCACACTCAAACCCATACAGTTGCAACGTAACAAAATCACAAAAGTAGATCGTGTACGAATCCAAAACAAAAGCACACAGCTTCACCAAACTAAGCATTTAAACCACCATGATTATCACCAAACACAGATTATAAATGTAAAGCATTCCATTGTTCTGCAAAACGCTGGAATGGAATCCTCAAAACCGTTCCATTCTTGAATAGACAAGGAAATGAATGCAATTACTAGTTCCACTCTCGCATTCCGACCAACCAAATAGAAGTCGTGTTCTTATCTGGAATGTTGAACAGCGATTGTGGAAATCAATTACATCGAAAACGGACTGGTAAAGAAGCCTATGAAGGGGTTCGCTTTCAACGGACCTGAAACCTGAGGTTTATTCATTTGAAGGAATCTATCTGCACTTGCGTTTATGTTTTCCTAATTGGAATGTTTTTTTATTGTTGGTAACGAGAGTAAATCGATCTTTGCTCCTTATTATACAATAATTACATAACTTGTGACCTAAGTACTGTTGGAAATTCAAATCAAAACAGGTTGTAAATGGCAGCTGCTAGCTGTTAGTTTCTTTACAGGTTGTATTCACACTTGCTGCAACTGCAAAGACTAAAGTTTTCTCCATGTGCCAGCTGAAAGTGTGTTGAAAGACAGCAGCTGTGTGCTGCCATGCTGTGTGCTAGCCGAAAGGTTGTGTTTGCAAACTGGAAGGATGCAATGTATGTGTGTGCCAACTATCCAAAGTTGCTGCATGTGTTTGAAAGAGTGGAAAGATGGTAAACACCATCATTCATTGTATGTGTTGTTGTATTGTTTATCAATTTCTGTTTTGTATAAATAGGCCTTCTTGCTAGGCTTTAGAATCATCCATTCCAATCCCATTCTCATTTTCAGCTTGTAAGCTTTAAGAGTTGTAAACTCTTCTAATATTTCAAAGTGTTTGTTATCACCAAGCTTGCTACTTCTTTCCTTTTGTTTGTCCAATTTTATTGAGGGTGCAAAGTGAGAGGTGTGATAGAGTTTGTAAACTTATCACCCACATATTTTGGTGTTGAGTTAGTAAACTTTTCAATTCCAACAGTTGGTATCAGAGCCAGAATACCATTCTGGCAGGTGCAGCAGTTATGGCATCCAACTTAGTGCAGCTCCAAGTTCCCACATTGAAGAAAGAAAATTATGAAAGATGGTGCATCCAATTCAAAGCATTGTTTGGATCACAAGAGCTCTGGGAAGTTGTCAGTAATGGGTATGTTGTACCCACTACCGAGCAAGAAGCCACATATACTGCAGATCAAAGGAACACTCTCAAGGATTTACGAAAGAAGGACCAGAAGGCGTTGTATCTTCTCTATCAAGGATTAGAAGATTCAACGTTCGAGAAGGTTGCAGAAGCAATAACGAGCAAGCAAGTATGTGACACACTCAGTACAATCTACAAAGGAGTAGATCGAGTCAAGAAAGTGAGGTTACAGTCACTTCGAGCAGATTTTGAAACTGCTCACATGAATGAAGGGGAAAGCATCTCCGACTATCACTCAAGGCTCATTGTGATAGTAAATCAGATGAGGAGAAATGGCGAGAGACTCGATGAAGTACGAGTTGTGGAGAAGATACTTCGGTCACTCACATCTAAGTTTGAGCATGTGGTGACTGCCATTGAGGAATCCAAGGATTTGGAGGCGATGAGCGCAGAGGAGCTACTAGGATCCCTCCTAGTTCACGAGCAACGCATTCAGAAGAATGCAAGCCCCACAACACTAGAGCAAGCTTTGGAGTCAAAATTTGAAAATTTGACAAACCAAATAAAGGTCGTGGGCAGTGGAACTCACGTCGTGGGAGTTCATCCAACCGTAGCCGAGGACGAGCCCGAGGAAGAGGTCGAGGCTATGAACAAAACCGAGGTCAATCTCAAGAGTGGAGATCTACCCGAGGAAAGGCGCATATCCAATGTCACACTTGCAAGCAATATGGACATTATGCAAATGAATGTTCATATAAAAATGGTGAGCATGTCAACATGGCAGAATCAAATGGAAATGCTAGTGAGGAATTAACAGTCTTACTAGCACACCATGATTCCAGTAGCCAACAAGATGTTTGGTATTTGGACTCTGGTGCAAGCAATCACATGTGTGGAAAGAATGAGTTTTTTTGCCGAACTCAAAGATGGGGCCTATGGATCTGTAAGTCTTGGTGACTCCTCAAAGTTGCCAGTTGAAGGCAAAGGGAAAATCAAGATCATCCAGAAGGATGGTAGAGAAGAATACATCTCCGATACCTACTACATACTAGGTATGAAGAGCAACATTCTGAGCATTGGTCAACTGCTCCAGAATGGGTACATTATACATATGGAGAACATGCTTCTCACTCTCAGGAATGCAAGGAGAAAGCTTATTGCACGTGTTCGAATGTCAAAGAACCGGATGTTCCCGTTGAATTTGAACACAAAGATTGGAAGCTGCAACATCGGTGTAATGGAAGATGAGTCATGGAAATGGCATCTTCGATTTGGCCATCTTCATTTCAATGGCCTAAAGTTGCTGTCAAGTGGAGGAATGGTTCGTGGTCTACCCCAGATTGAAGTCACACGCCAAGTATGTGAAGGTTGTGTGCTTGGCAAGCAAGCACGACTATCATTCCATGTTGGTGATACATGGAGAGCAAAGGCACCACTGCAGATGGTACACACGGATATATGTGGTCCATTGGATCCTATGTCTTATGGAGGTAATAGGTATTTTATTACTTTCATTGATGATTTTAGTAGGAAGACTTGGGTTTATTTTCTCAAGGAGAAGTCGGCTGCCCTAAAATCTTCAAGGAGTTCAAGGCACTCACAGAGGCTGAAAGCAACCACAAGCTTGTGGCTGTGAGATCAGATAGAGGTGGAGAGTACACCTCCAATGCTTTCCAAGTATACTGCAAGGAGCAAGGAATTAGGCATCAACTGACTGCTGCCTATACCCCACAGCAAAATGGGATAGCCGAAAGAAAGAATCGAACCATCCTTGACATGACAAGGCCCATGCTTAAGGAGAAGAATTTGCCAAAAGAATTGTGGGGAGAAGCTGTAGCTTGTTCGATTTATTTGTTGAATCGATGTCCAACAAAGAGTGTCAAGAGGATGACACCACAAGAAGCTTGGAGTGGATACAAGCTGAGTGTTGCACACCTAAGAGTTTTTGGGTGTGTTGCATATGCTCAAGTTCCAGAAGCCAAGAGAAGGAAGCTTGATGATCGAGGTGAAAAGTGTGTGTTTGTGGGCTATAATGAAGAGTCCAAGGCATACAAGCTCTACAACCCACTAACTGGCAAACTAGTGGTTAGTAGAGATGTCATCTTCAGTGAGGAAGAGGCATGGAAGTGGAATAACAAAGAAGTCAGTAAAGAGAAGATCGTCTTCACTGATTTTGAAGAACCGGAAGTTGTACCACCTGTTGAGCAACAACCTGCTCAACAACCACAACAACTCCATTGCACAGAACTGCAAGGAGTGGTCCTACATCTAGTGAAGAAAGCAGCTCCTCAACTCCAGTGAGGCTAAGAAGTCTCACCGAAATATATGGACAAGAAGAAGAAGAAGAAACCAACTTTTTCTGCTTGTATGCAGACCACGAGCCTCTCTCATTCAATGAAGCTGTGGAAGAAGATCGTTGGAGAATAGCCATGGAGGAAGAAATCCATGCCATCGAGAAGAATGACACTTGGGAGTTGACAAAGCTCCCACCAAATCAGAAGGCAATTGGTGTCAAGTGGGTATACAAGATCAAACGCACTGCAGATGGGAGTGTGGATCGGTACAAATCAAGGCTTGTAGCAAAGGGCTACAAACAGAAGTATGGAGTGGACTATGATGAAGTCTATGCTCCAGTTGCAAGACTTGACACGGTAAGATTACTAATCTCTCTTGCCGCTCATCATAAATGGAAAATTTATCAACTAGATGTCAAGTCAGCCTTCCTTAATGGAGTACTTGAGGAAGAAGTGTACGTGGAACAACCAGAAGGCTTTCAAGTACAAGGAAAAGAAGATAAGGTGTATCGTTTGAAGAAGGCTTTGTATGGCCTTAAGCAAGCACCACGAGCTTGGAACTCAAGGATTGACAACTACCTTCACCAAAATGGATTTCAGAAATGTCCATACGAGCATTCAGTTTACATGAAGAATGGTGCAAAAGGGGAGTTCTTAATTATTTGTCTCTATGTAAATGACTTGTTGTTTACAGGAAACAATGAAGCAATGTTCTGTGAGTTCACGAAATCCATGTTCAGTGAATTCGAGATGGCTGACAATGGATTAATGTCATACTTTCTTGGCATAGAGGTGAAGCAAGAAAGTGACGGTATCTACATCTCTCAACAAAAGTACATGAGAGATATATTGGAGAAATTCAATATGGATAAGTGCAATATTGTCAACACTCCAGTTGCAACTGGATTGAAGCTGTCCAAGGAAGGAGAATGTGAGTTTGTAAACTCAACCGTGTACAAAAGCTTGGTTGGAAGCCTAAGGTACCTTACAATCACAAGACCTGATATAGTTTATGGTGTTGGACTCGTGAGTCGATACATGGAAACACCAAAGGAGTCTCATTGGCTGGCCGCCAAGAGAATTTTGAGGTACATAAGAGGTACTCTAAACTATGGTCTGTTTTATAATTTTGGTGAAGATGCAAAATTATTTGGTTATTCAGATAGTGATTGGGGAGGTGACCAAGATGAAAGGAAAAGCACAACTGGCTATGTGTTTTTTCTAGGATCAACAGCTTTCTCATGGACTTCAAAGAAGCAATCAATTGTTGCTTTGTCATCGTGTGAAGCCGAGTACGTTGCTGTAGCCTCAACCGTGTGTGAGGCAATTTGGTTAAGAAATCTGTTGAAGTCAGTGTGTCATCCACAAGTGGAATCGACTGTGATTCATGTGGATAACATCTCAGCTATCAAGCTTGCTAGGAATCCAGTCCAACATGGAAGGAGTAAGCACATCGATACCAGGTTCCATTTTTTGAGGGATCATGTGAAGCAAAAGACAATTGAGCTTGTCTATTGTCACACGAAGGAACAAGTGGCAGATATCTTCACTAAGCCACTGCCAGTTGAGCCATTCAAGTTGCTACGTGAAATGCTAGGGATAAAGGCGTTTTAATTTGAGGAGGTGTGGGAAATTCAAATCAAAACAGGTTGTAAATGGCAGCTGCTAGCTGTTAGTTTCTTTACAGGTTGTATTCACACTTGCTGCAACTGCAAAGACTAAAGTTTTCTCCATGTGCCAGCTGAAAGTGTGTTGAAAGACAGCAGCTGTGTGCTGCCATGCTGTGTGCTAGCCGAAAGGTTGTGTTTGCAAATTGGAAGGATGCAATGTATGTGTGTGCCAACTATCCAAAGTTGCTGCATGTGTTTGAAAGAGTGGAAAGATGGTAAACACCATCATTCATTGTATGTGTTGTTGTATTGTTTATCAATTTCTGTTTTGTATAAATAGGCCTTCTTGCTAGGCTTTAGAATCATCCATTCCAATCCCATTCTCATTTTCAGCTTGTAAGCTTTAAGAGTTGTAAACTCTTCTAATATTTCAAAGTGTTTGTTATCACCAAGCTTGCTACTTCTTTCCTTTTGTTTGTCCAATTTTATTGAGAGTGCAAAGTGAGAGGTGTGATAGAGTTTGTAAACTTATCACCCACATATTTTGGTGTTGAGTTAGTAAACTTTTCAATTCCAACAAGTACAGCTAAGAATCCATATTCGGGTTCAACGTAATTTTTTGTGTTAGTAAGCTTTGTCAGCTGACCTCGATGATAGAAGATATGTTGGTATATGGTATCCCCAATTGGGTCCGACGACAGCGGTATGAGTTGCCAACAGAGAACCCCCAGTTCTCAATTCAACTAGAACCACATTTCTTGCACTCCAAGACTGTAACCTTCAAGAGTTACTGGTCAACGAGGGGTTAAAACATGAACAATTTTATTTTATTTTTTAGAGGGATTTTGTTCATTTTGATTTTGGTTTTTCATGGTTTTTAGGAATTTTTCAATTTATATTCCACTTTATTTAGTAACACTCCTGAAATTATAAAGTATGTGAGTCTCGTATTACAATTAATAATGTATTACACGAACAATTTTAAACTAGTGACATATTTATTTAGAGAAAGTGAGAATTCATAATTCAATACGTAAAAAAAGTAAGAAATCATATTAACTAGAAAAATACTAAGGAAACTCTCAAAAGTGGAACTCTACTGGACTCTTTGTCACCTCATGTTTTTGCACAATATTTAATAATGTATTCATGAGAATTGACATTAAACTGGTGTCAAAAACTATAAAGAGACCTACTTTGAAAAGTTCTCCTTAACATTTCTCTGTTAATTATATGGCCAATTGATTTGTTCCTATATAATTTCTCTCTCTGCTTGTTTCAAAGAGTTCTCCCTAAGACCACAAATCACAAATATTGTGTATGGGCTAAACAAGCGACTTCACAACCACAAAACTATTGGGCCAAATTCAAAGCCCAAAGGTTAATGTTGCCAACAGTTGGGTTCAAACCTGCACTGCTGAAGCCCAGACAAACATAACTATCGTTGCCGCCAAAATTTTTCAAAATCCCACCTTTACCCCTCAAGGCGCACTGAGAATTGAAAGGAAATTTATTCTTCAGAAGGAATAACTTTGCGCCAGCTGCTTTCTTTTTGGGTACCATAACTTGCATTGGCTACTTTTCTATCATTGAGCTCTGTCTATATATATATATGTGTATATGGGGACACAAAGAAAAGATGAAATGTACAGAACTCGACGACCTTGACCCTCCACATTGGGCCAACTACTCTTCACCCCAGCATTGAGTGGTTGCTACAGGATCAACATTTTCTGCTCTGGCCGCCGGCCGGTACGTAAATTTATCATTCTCTACGATATTTGTTAATTAAGTTGCCAATCTGCTGTTAATCTGTTTTAGTAAAATGGCTTATGGGACAAAATTTCCAGTCTAAGAGAGCTTTCTGTTTTTGCAAGTAGGTAATGCCTTAGGTACTTCTTGATAAATGCGCAGTAGCCTCCTTAATGATGTTTCTCAGAGGGAGGTTAACAAGATCAAATTACGTCGTTACATGGTTTGCGAATCGCATGCTGTTTTCCATCTTCGTTTCTTATGCAGTAGCGGTCTTGTTGTGCTCATCTCACCCATTTTGCTGTGCTAGAGATACAGTAACATACGACACTCCAATTACCGACGGTGTTGAATCAGAAACTCTTGTTTCGTCTGGTGGAAGATTTGAACTCGGATTCTTTAGCCCTTCACCTGAAGGGACTCAAAGATATGTTGGCATATGGTATCACCAACCGAGTCCGAGGACAGTGGTATGGGTTGCCAACAGAGAAAAGCCAGTTGACAATTCCACTGGTAATGGAAGTCTTGCACTCCAAGATGGTAACCTCCATGTGTTGGATGCTGCTGGAAAGAGGTACTGGTCAACGGAGGTTGAAACATCCGAGTCTTTGACGCAGACTGTGACGCTCATGGATTCCGGGAACCTTGTTCTAAGCAGTGGTCATGATAAGTTGGCAGTGAATATTCTGTGGCAGAGCTTTCAAAGTCCAACCGATACATTCATTCCTGGGATGTTAATGGATAAAAGCTTGGTGTTGACTTCATGGAGAGGCGAAGATGACCCGAAAAGCGGGCAATTCATCTTCAAAAAAGATCCAGTTGGAGAGGACCAGTATGTCATCACAAAATCAAAATCAGATTTAGAATCGATTCTGTACTGGAAAGGCGGAGAACGGGCAACTGATGCATTTTACAGCTTTGATCAAATGCTTCCTGCGGTTACTTACTTACTATCAAATTTCAGCAAGAAATATGTTGAAAGAAATTACCCCAAGATTTTCGGTTCTCCGAGTCAAAACTCTTATAAAAATATAGCAATTCCGCCACAATCAGAATACAAATATACAAGGTTGGTGATTAACATTACTGGAGAGATACAGTTTCTGAGGTGGATTGAATACACAAAGCAGTGGAATTTGAATTGGTCAGCGCCAAGAGATGAATGCAGTGTGCTTAATGCTTGCGGAAACTTTGGCAGCTGCAATGATAATAATATGCCGTTTCTGAGCAAATGTTTGCCAGGTTTCAAACCCCTGTATCTAGAGAAGTGGAATTCTGGAGACTTTTCAGATGGATGCGCAAGAAAGTCCGCATTATGCAACAAGAATGATACCTTCTTGAGCTTGAAGAAGATGAAAGTGGGAAACCCAGATTCAGAAATCAACGTTGACAATGAAACAGAATGCAGGAACGTGTGCTTAAATAGGTGCCGGTGCAAGGCTTATTCATATGCTAAATCTGAAAACAATAGTTATCGAAGGGAAGCGAGTACTTCATTGTGCAGAATATGGAACGTGGGAGATCTAAATAATCTTGAAGAAGAGTATAACAATATGGGCCAAGACCTCTGTGTTCGTGTTGCGTTGTCTGATTTAGGTATTCTTCCTCTGAAGTTCTCAGAAACTATTAAGTGAATGTGTGGATGGCAGATATATATATATATATTTTTTTTTTTGTTTTTGTTTTTTGTGAATTAGATGATCAAACCATTTTCCAGCGAAAAAGTAGAACTGAGAAAGAACTTTAGTTACATGAGTTTTATCTTTATGCTTTCTGTTGTTTCACGCTATTCCTTACATCATTACATGTATATAGTTTCAATTAGCATGATTCCATTTACCTTTGATTATAAGCGGGGTTAACCTTTTTGAACATAATTGCAAAAGCATGAGATTATTCGATGTGAACATAAATGAGGTAGTGATAATTGCTTAGCTCGTTATGACAGTCAATTAATTACACCTTGTGCAGAATCAACTGTAAGAGACTGCAAGCCTTGCGGCACAACCATCATCCCTTATCCCCTGAGCACAAGACTGGGTTGCGGTGACCCTTTGTACTTCCGTTTCAAGTGCAACTACTTCACAGGTCAGGTTAGCTTTGTGGGACCGAATGACGCCTTGTTTAGAGTTATTAGCATAAACTCAAGTACCCAGAGATTTTTCATCCAAGGCTTCCATACCGAAAATGTAGATAACAGTGATCCTAGAAACAGAGCGGCTAAGCAGATCAATCCATCGTTTCCATTTAAAGTAATCAGTCCAGGTAATGCTGACCCGGGTAATTTTAGTTCTGAAGTACTGTCATCCGGAGGTCCTAAAGTAGTGGAGATGGGTTGGGAGCTACCAATGGAACCAACCTGCACAACATCTGCAGACTGCAGGGATTGGGCACATTCAATTTGCAAGCGTGCACGAGATGGAAAGAAAAGATGCCTGTGCGAAACCAATTTTCGATGGAATGACTTGTTATTAAGATGTACTCAAGGTGAGAATATCATGTTAGGTATAAAATTTCGGTCATGCATGTGCCATCTTGCAAATCAAATTTTTATGTTGATACGAGTGCTGCAGAATCGTTTTACATTTTACAATACAGTAAAAATGATTATATGACAATAAAAAATATTTTCTTTTCTTTCTTGCAGAAGGTCATCTTCTAGGGCCACCAAAAGAAGAGCATACGAGAAGAAAATTGCCATTGTCCCTGATAATTGTAGCGATGCTTTTAAGTGTGATTTTTCTGGCCTGCATCGTCATTTCCATTTATATATGGCGAAGAAATATGAACAATGTTTGTACCATACTTGACCAATTCCGAAACTACTGAGCACCGGTCAACGTTATACCGTAAGGACCCAGAAGAGTTTCCCTTCAACCAGAAGGCCAATCACAATGCGATACGTGTCGACATCAGAAGCCAATCACAGCGCGACACGTGTCAACATCAGAAGCCAATAACAACACGACACGTGTCAATATTAGAACAAAACTAGAAACTCTCTTCTATAAATAGGGATCATTCTCCCACAATAATTTCTAATGTCATTTTGTACTAAACTATTCGCTAGAACTCACTAAACCAGAGCTTGAACCTATGTATTTGTGTAAACCCTTCACAATTAATGAGAACTCCTCTACTCCGTGGACGTAGCCAATCTGGGTGAACCACGTACATCCTTTGTTTGCTTCTCTGTCTCTATTCATTTACGTACTTATCCTCACTAGTGACCGAAGCAACCAAGCGAATGTCACAAAACCTGACACTTTCTGTTGTACCAAAGTCCTCGCTGATTTTGTGCATCAACATTTGGCGCCGTCTGTGGGAAACGACACTTATTCCCACTCTCTGCAGCTTTGTCAAGCTGGTTTTCACCGCTCGTACACTCTCTTGGCCAAGCATCTCTCTCCGATATGGGGAGCGAAAGAAGCCACAGCACACAGAATGACACCCCCGCTGGACCTAGTATGAAGCAACGAAAGCAGGAAGGAAATAGAGTTACTCTTCAAGCTAAAGTCGATGAGCTAGAGGTTCAGAACAACAAGATAGCGATGAAGAATGAAGTCCTCCAGGAACAATATGAAAAACTTTTCGAGATGCTTCACGAGGCTAGGCAAGCTCAAACACATAAGCTCGTCGCCCCTGTTGAGGTCAACAATCAACTGAATGCCCCCCAACACGGAGGGTCGCCGATATCCGACACGGACATCCCTGATAGGGATCGAGCTACACATCAATGTGATAATCAACATGAGACTTCTCTCAACCCAGCTGCTTCAACCCGAAGCAGGAGAAGTAGAGGAAAACACCTTCTCACAGAGGGAGTGGAAGGATCAAAAGCTGTCTATCGCGATTGTCGAGACTTCCTAAAGCAACGTCGAGAGAATCCCATCCACATAAGCTCGAAGATCAATGACCCAAGGGTTTCTGAAAGACTCGGTCCTCTTCCACGACCCAGGCCAGCCGCCAATCTAAAGAATAGGCAACAAGTCCCAGAAGAATATGAAGGTACTGGGGACTCGGAAACATTCCGACATACTCACTCTAGAAGTCAGTGTGGCGAGTCCAGAGAAAGATCACGCTATCTTGATCAAACTTTCCTACTTCTAAGAGGTGATGGGGACTTAAAGAAGAAAACTTCGGTGGTGCACGACTCCGCTCAGGACCCCCTTGTCCTGCAGCTCCTTGAGGAAGTAAACAAGCTGAAGGCTGAACGTCAAGCCGAGATACCTGACTGGAACCAACCCAGGCCTGGCCCTCTCACAAGAAGGATCCTCAACACTCCCCTCCAAGCGAAGACAAAGCAGAAGCTTGACTTACAGCTCTATACTGGAAGGGAAGACCCGATTGAACACCTTAACCTCTTTGAGTCTACCATGGTATACCGGGGACACACCGACGAAGAACGGTGCTTTCTCTTCCCCTCCACCCTCTCTGGCGGAGCTTTAAACTGGTATTGCCGTCTTCCACCTGAGACAGTAGACTCATTTGAAGAGTTGAGGAAGCTGTTTGTCTCTCAACACATCTTCCAAACCGATCGCTTGCATTCCGCAGATGACTTGTACACTATTCGCCAGAAGCCGGACGAGTCATTACGAAAGTACGCTGGCCGCTTCAGCCATGAGTATTCTCGCTGCGCTGAGGCAGATGACAAGACCGCCCTCAAGGCTTTCACGGCAGGCTTACGTGACTGTTTCTTCAAGTACATGATCAATGCCAACACTTGGAAGACTTACTCTGAGGTGATGACACAAGCTTACAACCATGCCTCCGCCGAGGCAAGGACATATCAAGGGAAACCCCCTACAGTCACCCCTTATCAGCAAGTAGGGAGTGGAGGCCAGATCCAACCAAATGAAAAGACCTCAACCTTCCAAATGGTAGTAGCACACCCCCCTGCCTCATTTAATGCTTCGCCAAGTCAGCAGACATATCAATCTCAGGGCAAAAGGAAAGACTTTCCATCCTCACCAATCTCATTTTAATAAAAAGAATAAGGGGCACTATCGCGATAACTCAAGGATATCGTCACAATAATGCCCGCCCCCAGGCAGTCAACGCAGTGGGCCAATCACGTGTCAAGACAGGCCCTACCCCGAGGTATGAGACATACACCTCTTTGAATGCTACATGTGCTGCCATCTACCCCAGTATAGCTCACATGATACCAAAGCCAAAGCCAAGACAGCCAGATTACAAGTCCACGAAGAACACGGGCATGTTTTGCTGCTACCACGAGAGTATAATGGCCATGATAGTGAGAAGTGCATTATCCTCCGTGACCATATTGAAGCTTTGGCACGTGAAGGAAAAATTGATCAGTTCCTCCTTCACCCTCCAAGGGATAACCGTAACCAACGCCAGGTGAATGTGATATATTTCATAAGCGGCGGCACACCCATGTCTGAATCTTCCAATAGGGCCATGAAAAGCAGTGAACGAACTTTGAGATCTGGCCATCAAGTGTTTCACGTGGAAGACATCAGAGGAGGCAAGTATCAAAAGCCTAACTGGGATCCAATATGTTTCTACCCTGAGGAAGAAAGAGGTATCATCTACCCTCACAATGACCCGCTGATCGTGGAAGCTCACATAGCAAATTGATGTGAAACGAATCCTGATAGACACAGGTGCTTCAGTCAATATCATGTTTGCTGAAGCTTTCAAGGCACTTAATGTGGCTGAACACTTGCTCGATCGCTCGATTTCTCCTCTGATAAGTTTCTCTGGCGATATCGTGCAACCTTTAGGGAGTATACACTTACCCTTCACCATTGGCGATATCGTGAATCCTGATAGACACAGGTGCTTCAGTCAATATCATCTTTGGGCGCACAGGCATCAATGATCTCAAGGCCATGGTATCCACACATATGTTGTTGATGAAGTTTCCAACCCATTTCGGCAATGCGTACATCAGGGGAGATCAACTTAGTGCTCAATCATGTTACAACACTTCAGTCAAACAACAACACCTGCCTGTCCCCAAGGAGACTCTCTTTATACATAACCAAGTCGTAAAGACCAGTCCAGATGAATCCAACTTGGGTCTTCAGGATGGCAACAGTCAACCCGACGACCCTCGAGATGACTCCTTCACCCAGTAAGCACAACCCGCTGAAGAGTTAGAGAAGGTCTCTATCTCCAAAGACCATCCAGACCGCATGGTGAAGATTGGCACCACTTTGTCACCATCCCTTCGGTTGTCGCTGATCTCCTTTTTGCAAGAGAACGCCGAGGTCTTCGCTTGGTCATATAAAGATATGCCGGGCATCTCTCCCGATATCATCTGTCACCACTTGAGTATTGATCCCAAGACCAAACCAGTAAAACAGAAGCGAAGATCTTATGATGTTGAACGATACGAGGCGAATGAAAGCAGAAGTTGAAAAACTCAAAGGACATAGGCTTCGTCCGTGAAGTCAATTACCCAACATGGGTAGCAAATGTTGTCCTTGTTAAGAAAAATCCGACCAAGGAAAGTCTCCTTGCTTCAAAAGGTCTTGTGGAGAATGTGTGTCGACTACACCGACCTAAACAAAGGATGCCCGAAGGATAGTTTCCCCCTTCCTCTCATTGATAGACTTATAGACTCTACGGCAGGGTGTGAGCTCTTGAGCTTCATGGACGCTTA